AACGCTTTGATAGGGTGACGGATAAATGTCAGGGTTCAACTATCAATAACAATCATGGCTGACTGAGCCAACTTCATCTTCACCATGGAAGCACTGACAGGGCTTTTCTAATGATGCTCTTTGAACGTAATTTAGATATCCCATTTCCTCGCTCGCACTATAATCCCAATGTTTTATTTTGATTTGCATTAAAAACTATTTGACTCCTTCCTTTAAGCATAAAAAGCAATATATGCAAACTATACATCTCTCAAATTCTGGCTGAATGCAAGAATAATATTATAAATATTTACTGGAAATTAAAAATTCCCCTTTTTCCCAGTTATAATGCATATACATAAGAGGTGCACCTTATCATCCATACGTGACTTCTTCATCTATGAATGTGATTTCCATATGCGAGTTATTGCACGGTGCGTTGATATGCAAAACTTAGAAAATCTACAAAGAGAATTAAAGACTATCAGCGTTTAAATCCCTGCTGTCCCTCCTCTTCACTGCTGCGTCTCCACTCCTGCGCTCAGTCGGGGGCCGATTCCACTCGCTGCCTTCGGGGGCTAATGAAGATGGCGGGGGGGCGTGTGTGTTTGTGTGTGTTGCAGCTGAATCACACTGTGCCTAACATGACTTTGTGCTCAGCCAAAGGTTTGGTGTCTTTGTGGCTGCTCAGTTGTTGGACATGACCAGTGATCTAACGACAGATTAAAGCTGGTAGCTGAGCAGGGGGCCGGAGGAAGGGGGGCCTAAATAGTGTGTCTGTCGCTGCGTGCACTGAAGAAAAACATACTGTTGCCTGATCTAAATCAAAATTATATTGGCAGTCAGCTATGCGGCAACATTTTGGACTTTAGGAAAGGTTACAAACAATCCCACGTGGCCAAACTAGTTTAACAGACCCTGTTAGAGCCGGTATTTTGATTTGATAAGAAAGGCCACCTAATTGTGACGTCTGTAGTTAACGCACTATAAAAGGACTACAATTCCCATGGCGCCGGTGCTAAAGCCACAGTGATGGGCAACCTGTTGAGAGACGCCGTCGAGGAACAGTTTTTAAACGTACTTATCTTACCGTAACGTACCGTACTCTTACCGTACAAGTACCCTTTAAGTTATAAGCATTATTAAGACAGAAAGAATACCTAAGTTGTTTTGTTATTTTACTTTGAGTTTTGCCTATTTCTTTTGAATATTGTAAAGGCCTATTTTTCTTTGTTGCATGTGCAAAAGTTTGTTATTTTATTTTGAGCAAACACATCGCAACATCTTCTAAACCATCGGAGGCCAAGCAGCACTTCAAACTGTGAGTAATGTAAGGAAAGAGTTAGAACTGTCTGTTTAAGGCGTCTAGTGGCTTGATGGAAAAACAAGGAAGGAAGCCACGACAGACCCATTTCAGTTGAGATTGAGATTCAATTGATAACTGTGTTTCTTCTACAGGCGGATATCTGTTTTCCTCACCTACTTCTGTATCTCAGTATGGTGGGCGGTAGCATGCATAGCAATTATTAAATACATGCAACTTGGTTTACTAAAGTAATTAGAGGATTAAATCATGGCAGCAATATATAATGTAAGAAACCAAATTAAGTTTAAGCAGACCAAACAGCAGTCAACCTGCTGTTGAGCATGTGGCTCTATCCTCACTGCAGTTTGTAGCCAGTTTAACGGCACATCATGCCAGATGCATGGGGAACTTGCACATAACAAATTGACTCAGATAGATGAGTCTGCCTGCAGCTTTATAGCTCCTGCTTCTGTATTCACAAAAGTGCACGAATTCTCCTACAACATAGCACAGCTAGTCTTAGCCTCACTGATTCATTTCCAGAGGGGAAGAGGAAACAACTTGGAGTGTAACTAAAATTACACAATTAAATAAATCAATGTATACCACAGCCCAAGGCACATTTAATAAATACAAAAAATGATTTTTCACTGTTTAAAAGTTGCAAGCAATTGCACGTCTTGTATTGGACTGCAGTAAGTAAACAAAGCTGTGCGAAACGTACAGGCTCTTAGTCAGAGAAGACTGTGACACTCCAGTGATTACATCTGGTGACACACACTCACAAACTACTTATTTTCCTGCTACGAAAATCCATTTTCAATTTTATTTGTAGTGTTTTTCTGTATTTTACGTCAAAGGAGGTCACCCCAACCCCACATCACATCCATGACGACTTGTGAGTGAAGATGTCTCCAAAAGCGAGAAACTGTAGTGATGTAAAATTGAATAATGTGTGTTTGTACGACACATTTTCAACACATAGCTGCTCAGTTAATAATGTGGTTTGATTGTTTTCTCATTCAATTATATGTTTATGGAGTTGTCATGTTTAAACTCTCCCTCTATATTTGCAGATCATTCTTTTATAATTAAAGTAACCTCATCTGACACTAAATCACTCCCGCTATAGCAACAATTTTCATTTTCATCATTTTCTCCTCTTTTCTAATTATCTTTAGTGGAACTTTAAATTAGCATGACACCACCGATTAAGGAGATGGGCCAGGCTTCTCTTATTTGTGTCTGAGAGATGTTCACTCAAGCCTGATTTCCACTGCATGGTTCAGCTCCACTCAACTCTAATCAACTCAGCATGCTTTTGTTACCAGGTTGTTCTCTCTATCTCTTCTCCACGGCTAATAGCTAATGTGCTGTAATGGTCATCTTTTCCCGTCCTTTACAGCCCATTTTGGTAACTGTAGGCAACATTAGCAATATAATACAGAACACCATTCAAACAGCTCATTTCTAAATGACCGTGATTTGATTTAGTCTGTAAGGAATGGGAGTTGAATGAAAGCTAAGGAAACCATGCAACATTAATTCCGGAAAGTCATTATTCATAAGTTAACCTTAACCTGCTTTTATCAAATGGCTTCCTCAGAGGGGAAAAAGCAATTGTTTAAAGCTGAAGTAATTTACCTGATGGCAAAAACATTTGCCGCTTAAATTAATCTGTGCTGCTTCATGCCTCAGTGTAATTTGTTACCAACACATAAATAATTAACTCTGAACAAAAAGTGAAAATATTATGTCCCACACAATTACATTTCTTTCACTTCATCAGTGTCATGTTTTGCATACCAGATTTGCTACACTTTCCTGCAATTTCACAGTTTTGATTAAAGTTATTTACTTGAAAATGTTCTCCCTGTTGTGTTGTGGTAAACAAAGCAGTAGGCATGAGAGGTGACAATGTGGGTCGGCGTTGAAAGATGAATTAGAAGCTGATACAATTTCTGGTCAAATCCCTATGGGGATTAAACAGCTACCGAAATGTCAAGTTGCACCAATGGCTAGTCATATACTGAATTACAATCCATTATTAGAAATTCGACTACACATGCTGCCAATTGTTTTTTATTTGAATATTTCCCCTGTATTGTCTATGTAAGAGCAAACAAAGATAGCAAATGACAACAGACTGCAGGGTCTCTACCAGGGGAAGATGTTGCCAGCGTCACTTTGATTGCCTCAAATGATATTCCTGCTGAGCTGATCAAACGCCTAGAGGCTGATTGGATATTTCACAGGGCGCCACTGCTAATTCACAAGGTGGAGTGTTGCCACTATTTTGAACAGAACGCCTGTATAAATATCCATATTTAAATCTGTGTGTCAGTGTTTTTGACTCTGCCTTGGTCAAGGTACGCAGCAGCATTCAAACAGGCCCTCCGGTTGTTTTTGTATTCAGCTTTTTTAACGTTGCCAGTGTCATCTTTTCTGAAAAACATTTACTTTTCACGACAAATATGGTTGATTACCCTGTTGACAATGACACATTTATCTCATTTTAAATTAATAGACACCAACCAAATAGCATCAATCATATCATTCTTAAAAAGAGGTGAGAGTATGCAGCAGTGGAATACAGACTACATAATAGGGTCAAAAGAGAACATACTTACAGGATTCAATACACATTGAGGATTTGGACTGCATCATTTTCAGGGTTAGAATTTTTTACAATAGAACGGAATATTTGAAGTCAACGTAAAGACATATATCTATATATATAGTAATATATAGTATAATAGTTATACTATAATATATATACAGTATATATTGTATATCTGTATCATGGATATGTCAACCAGGGCCTGTATTCTTACATCATATTGAGCGTTAAACACTACTTTTGGCAGCATGAATGTGAGTACTTACATCAAGGATGTTAGAAGGACATGAGTGAAAAAGGAACACCATCTTCAGATAAGTTAGCCTTTGGCAGAGGATGTCTCTTTGGCTAATCAGTAAGATCATTTGATGGCAACTTTACCCATCAGAATTAATAGAAAAATTATGCTGTCAAGCTGACAGTCCTATCATGATCAGTATTGTGGGTAGGAAGGAGAAATGGATACAAAGTTCTCATGGCTTCTAAAAACATTGAAGTCCTATTGGATCTTTCCTTCCACTCCTACATACGCAGCAATTTATATACACAGGTCTACGCATAAGATCAATGGCGGTTATATCACTGCAGATCTAATATAGCACCTTCAGGATTATTTTTGACGGAGAGGGAAAAACCTAGCAACAAATGCAGCTCCAGCCTGTGCTTTCAGCATGGTGTTGCTGATGTAGCCTGCGTGCAAATGTAGCTTAGGGAAGTGACATTGTAAACATGAGAGGTTTTCTAAGGTTCAGCGTCACATGTCCTTCACAAGGCAGACTTTACTCCTATCTCCCTTTCTCATGCACCTTGGCTGATAAATGTACTTTTTTTTCAACTTAGCATCCCTCGCGACAGAGTCTAGACTCTTTATTAAGTCATTTACACCCTTCTCTTTGCACCTTAAGGCCTGAAACTAAACCCCTCATCCATGCAATCATTATCATCACTCTTACTTTTTATCCCTCCTTTCCCCTTTTTCTACCAATTATACTGCTTCTTCTCCCTTTTAAAACATAAGACCCGGGTTGTATTATAGGCCCTATACCTCTCATGGTACCATTGTTCCTACTTTCAGTCACCCATCCACCCCCCTACCTCCTTGGAGGGGACCCTGGATCCCTTCCTCCGTGACCACCAGCTTTCCACCATGGCAATGAGGCAGGAGAGCACCACGCCGGCTGCCAGGACGCAGAACACCCCCGCAAAGCTGTGGATGTCCAGAGCGTTCCCCTGTTGTCGTGTCTGGATTGAACTGTAGAGATCACAGGGGCTGTCCCTGGGCCACCACTTGAGTTTCAGTATATCCATGTCACCGTTCTGCTGGAGCTCCAAGACTCTAGGATATGGGCGAGAGAAACAGCCATGTAAGCATAGATCAATGTACAGGACAAGCACATTCTGACAAGGAACAATACATGAATGAATTTGTAGTTGCATGAATGCAACAAGCCAGACACGCTGCCAAGAGTACTGATCGTTAGTGTGTATTATCATTTATGGTTTCTGAATGAATATAGATTCAAAACGATCATGGAGGATGTAAAGCATTTCCCCACGTCAACTGCACAAAACCTGACAACACTGCAGAGTTCACTGCAGATGCTATAGCTCTTCTTGTCCATTTGAGGGCAGTGTTTGCCAGTTAAAATCCCCTCTGATCCCTGACAACCATATTGGGCTGTCAAACTCATTATGGCTAACATTAATATGTTTTGCAGCACAGCGCGAGTACACTGCCACAATGTCATTATGCAGCCTAGCTTTAGTCCCAGGATTGATGGCTTCAGAGAGGATACAGCTCAGAGGTTGATGGGATCCCTCTGTTAGCCTTCAGCTTATTATTTAACTGGGTCGTTCATTTTGGTTTGGAGGAGAACTGCCGACACACAGACAGACAGGCGTACAGAGGCTCTTTTAGCATCCGGATGGATATTTAACAGGCGATCTGATGAGAGAAGGGCATTGGGAAAGGAAAGACAAAAAGGAAAAAGGCAATGTGGGAATGTGTGCGTTCACATAGCTATGCCTCCCACACAAGCAGATACAGACTAACGCAGACAAGATACAGGTGCAAATAATCCCTCATAGATAAAACTAAGCCATGACAACGATTGAAACCAACAGGGTAGATAGGAGATACATATTCACAAATGAACAGTTCCATACTAGACTGCATGCACTTAAGCCAAATTCACACAAGTTTATATAGAGACAGATGTTTGCAATTATCTTCCCAACTTCCTGGGGGCAGAACCTTCTCACAATTCCAGTGACAACATGCTGACATAAATGACAATGCCCATCTCTCATCTTCATTTTACTTCATGCGGAATACAGAATACGCACTGAAAACAATCAAGAAATGCAAATGAGGTCTGCAGACAGTTTACGTAATTAATTGTATCCACAACATCCAGAAAAGCATAGCTAATTTTAATTTCAATCAGATAAACAGGCTCAACAGAACATTGCTCCATAGCCCAGTCTCTGTCATTTCGGAACACTTTTCTCTCTTTAATCACTTCCTGGGCTTTACAGAGTTGCAGAGACTGGACAACTACGTCGTTTCAATCCTGGTTGCGGTTGTAATTGATAGGACAGAATAAAGGAGAAAGAGGAGGATACAACTGTAAAGGGCTGTAAAGAAGAAGAAAAGAGAGGAGCAGAGAAGAGATCAGAAGAGAAACAGACAATAAGAAAATGAAAAACTAATTTCAACAGAAAATCCAACAGCAGTCATTATAATACGAGATCATGTCCACCAACTGCCAGCTTGATTGTAGGACTGTTTGGCTCGGATCAGTGCAGATTAGTGTCAAGATTAGATAAGAATTTGTGTAGATGATATGCAACATTGACTGAAAACAAATGAAATAAAAAATGATCTGCAATAGTGTTCAGTATAGTGACAGCACTGGCCTAGTTGTATGCCCTGGTTATTACTCGACTGGCACAAAAAAGAGGTAGTCAGTGAAGAAATCCCTCATCTCACATCAATCCTGCATCTTTTCAGTAGTGCATTTGGGCCCTGCTCCTATTCTTCAAAACATGTTACCAAGTTACTTTTCGATATATTATACTGCATATACTGCATATACTGCATATACTGCATATACTGCAACACCAAACCTCAAGTTGCTTTACCTCTGAGTGCTGCGGTAGATTGTTTATCACTGAAAGAGCCAAAACAGCTCACTGTTGCATGCACGGCGCACCGCTGATATTCAAGTTGACATCAGCAGCAGCGTTTAATCAAAATTCAAACAGAATCCTTACAAGTTTTTTTCCAAGCCAATGACAAGAATCACATCAAAACGACTGTTTATGAAAGTTAAAACAGGATTTTTCCAAGAGAAGTGATGTGCCTTTCATACAGTACTGACCTTTTTATCTGTCACTTTGACGACAGATGCTTCACACACACACACACAAACAAGCCTGCACTCTGACAGATGGCTTCGGAGAAAGAACAAATGCACACAGGCTAATGAGACGGAATAAGAGCGATCCCACCTATAAAAGAAGCCAGGCACTGTTTTGTTAAAATATGTCATCATTTCTTGCTTGGAATTCTGCCAACTTCTGAAGATTGCTTGTCTGTGTTGATTTGTGTTTTTACTGTATGTCTGTCTTTCGATGGAGGCATGCTTTATGTTTGAAGCTGCCGTCTGTTATCACTACTCATCAGTTGACGGTTCTTATGTTTCACAAATGTCATGTCTGGTTTTAGTGGGGCACTTAAGCAGTGGAAATAAGTGGCACTTTCTTGTTTCATCTACTTTAAAATCTGTGAACATAATGACTATAGACAGTAAACGCCTTTGTGACAAAATTCTAAAAAAGGGGTTGACCTTTGATCGCAAATAAATAAACAGTGGAAAAGAAAATTTACATTTCTTTCCTTGCAGGGAGAAATAGTGATACAAACTGAATGTTACTCTCAAAAATCCTATCGTAAACCCGATTAATTATAATACGATTTTGCTGTGTGTCAAAGTAAATAGCTGAATATAAATGTTCAAGTTATACTTTGATTTTCATATTAATTCAAAGACTCAGTAAATGCCAACATTTCCTACCGTAATCCAATAGACAAACAAATCGACAAAAAATAACTAAAAGGCTTCTCCACAACTTGATAAAAGATCTATCAGATCAAGACAGGAAGATCAAGGAATTATTAGTGTGTGACTGAGCTATGTGTAACTTTGAGGGAGGACATAGCCGAACAGATTTGAGATTCAGGACAGAGTGCTTTCTCTCTCCCCTCTGTTACGACCCTGTCTGCCCATAGAGCTCATCATCTATCATTCTGCACTAATTGGCCTATCAGAATTATGCAAAAGCTGCTTCCCCAAAGGGCCCTTGAATCCAATTCTTACGCTGACATGGACTCACAAGAACGCAAACATACATAAAGTACACAAATAATACATTTTCATTTCACTTTTATCTCGTTGAGGTTCAGATGGCTGTGTCCTGCCAGCAGTTAGGCAAAAAGACCCTGACTGAACTCTACCAACTCATTTATAATACTTGCAGGAAAGAGGATAGAAATGATGATGATGATGATGCTGGTAATATTATGTGAAACCCGCTGTTTTCCTCACACCAAAATAAAGCGTGTCTGAGATTGGACAGATGGTGCAAGCCAAACGTGAAGTGGAAGATGTTAAAATGCTACACTACAGGGCCCTCTTATTTAAGAAGGCAATCCAGACTTAATATCTTATACATGGAATACGAGATGTCAGAGTAATTACAGTTTGAATGCTTACACTTATCTGTTGAGTGTTTGGTCATTTATCGTAACAGTGTTGAGAATGGCTCGGTGCATGTAGAAAAAGTTACCTAACTTACCATAGTTAGTTAGCTAAGAAGAGATCACTTTTCACTCTTGGCAGCTACTATGCAATGAGTACTTCAACTTTGTGAGGAAAAGTGAGAATGGTGATTTTACCACTGCTTTTATTAATCTGTATCCCATGGCTGACAGGCAAGATGAAAGGCCACTGTGAGTGTGACAAGAACATCGGTTGAGGCCCCGTTTACATGGAGACGGTTCGGGTTGTATCTGCTACTTTTTTCTATCGTAGAGACGGTTCGTTCACACGAGGCAGTAACGGAACCGCGGAAACGGACCCCTCAAACGATAACGGGTCCCAAGGTGGGTAGATCTGTAGACGGAACGCAATAAATAACAAAGAAGACCTTTGACCGGCACTTTTCTAATTTTGTCCGGAAGATTTTAACTTTAACGGACATGTTGACCGGCGAAAAAAACAGAAGGGCAACCATGGCAACCATGCTTGGGAGGTCTTCTTCGCTGCTTTTGGTTTATTTTGTGGCGGAACAGGCCCGGCATATGTACTACAGCGTCTCCAGCAGGTCGAGCGGTCTCGTGTGGACGGACACGTTTATTGAGCCGATTGCGTGTGAACGGAAGACTTTTTTCATATCGAATCCGGTTCATTTTCGTTTCCGTCTCCGTGTAAATTGGGCCTGAGTCTCATCGAAAGAAAACACATCCTTCTTTGAAAACACCAAATTGTTTGTGCTCACATAAGTGCAAACACACAGCCATCAAATGGAAAGCCTATAGCCACACAAAATATATTACAGTTCTAGATTTTTTTGTTCGAAACAATGACAAATGACATAATGAGAGCTAGCTAGGAGGAGCTAATTAAAGTGTGTGTGTCACGGTATTTATGTCCTTTTGAAAGAAACACAGAAACACAGAGTTTGATGGAGTTCATGATAAAGCACAGGAGAGGGAATCTGACTACTCATTTATTTCCCCCTAAGCAGTGTGCTTTTCCCTGCACAGACATCCCAAACATTTTTTTGCTTTCATTTTCAGTCTGAATATGTAGAATATAGAACTGAGGGGGTGTAAACTTAGATGTGTTTTTTCTTCCTTTTGGGTCTGGGAGTGTTTTTTGCTCAAGGCATCATCAGTCATCACACCGCTGCCTGGGGTATTGGGAAATAGATCACTTTAATCACTAAAATTAGCATCTAATTTAAATTATTGCAGTCTGAGTGTATGTTTATAGTATTACTGTCATGTCCTGCATTGTTAAACACATGAGTAGCCATATGTAACTGTATGTTATCTAATTAAATGCACCATTGTCACATTTATGAGAGGGCTTCAATTTCGGCTGATAGTGTGGGGAGTAAAGTGTGTGTGAAAAGTAATAAGAGAACAGAGTAATTTGAGTGTCTACCGAGCTGTTACAGCCTTTTTACATGTGTATTCATATGCAGCAGGACTGTTATGTGTCAAAACATATTATAAGCTTTGTATAGGTTTTAAGAATTTCACTCTGA